TCAGCCATGTGGGAGTGTCCAACACCTTAACCTCTATGCCACCTGCTGGTCCCAACAAAGAAAAATTTTAAAAGCTACTGCACCAGCCAGTGGCATGGTGGCTGAGTGGCTGGATTTTCCATGCCCAACTACACAGTTCAAGTCCTGGACCTGGCAGCCTGAAAAACATGCCTAATGCATGTGTGTGCATATGTGCCCAAAATCCTGAAAGGAGAGATTGAGAAGGGATTGCAGCATGGCCACCCTCCACAGGGAGGTGCTCTCTCACCTTCCTTCTCTCCCTCTCCCGGGTGACCTTGTAGCAAAAATAAATAGTTACCAGCTGACCTTCTCTAGAATTGCTAAAGGATGTTCTCTAAACAGAAGGTAAGAATAAAAGGAATCTAGGGTCACCTGTGGGTTAAGGGAGCTAGACCCCACATGGCAGAATGTGTGGTTTGAGTCCCAGTTCTGGCAGCTTGAAAACCCTGGGTGTGTGCGTGTGCTCCCTAAATCAGAAAAGGATGGAGAAATGGGTGAGAAAGGATTGTGGCGTGACCACGCCCCACTTGAAGATGCTCTCTCCCTCTGTCTCTCTAGCAAGAGCCCTTTGGCAAATTAGGAGAAAAAAAAAAAAAGGAAGGAATCTTGGAACATTCAGGAAGGAAGGGAAAATAACGAACAGGGTAAAAATACTTCACTTCTCAAATTTTCTTAATTATGTTAGAAGTACAAGTCGTGACATGAACTAGCACGGTTCTCAAGATATACTGGCAATTAGACTAGAAGTGGAAGAGGAGAATAGGAGTGCAAGTGAGCTGTGATAAATTCTATCTAGGAGACGCTGAAGAGCAGCCCCTAAATCAATGACACAGAGATACCCAGGGTGCCCAGCTGTGGTGCAGGCTGGGATGACATGAGGCCTGGGCCCACGTCCTGGGCCGACCTACAGGCTGGAGGCAGTGGCATAAGCCTGTGAACCCACAACTGGGGGTAGCTGACGCAGGACTGTAAGCTGGGGTCCAACTTGGGCAAAACAGCAAGACCCTGACTAGAAAAGAGCTGCGAGTCATGGCTCGTGTCTGTAGTCCCAGACGGGAAGCTGAGGCAGGATCATAACATGGCAAGGTCCTACTTTAAAAAAGAGAAAGAGGGATACAAAAGTACTTCGGACAAATCAAAACTGTATATAAAAAATATGTTCAAGTAACTCACTTGAAGATGGAAAAAAGAAAACACACACACACAACGAAAATGGCTGACACGACCCTAACATTTCTATAATTATATGTAATGGAAATACCACTTAAGAGACAAGTTGGCAGACCAGGCTGGCCTCATAGTAGTTAAGGAAGCCAGATCCCACATGGCTGACCGCTGTTTGAATCCTGTCTCCTGTGGCCTAGAAAACAAGCCCAGCACTGTGTGTGTGCTTGCCCCACATCTCAGTGATAAAGAAACGGAGAAGGGATTGCGGCATGACCACGCTCATTGGGGATGCTTTCTCCCTCTCTCTGGCAAACGTACACACTCTGGCAACTAAGGAGAAAGAGAGACACAGAGGAGAAAAAAAACCATGCTATACGCCATCTACAAGAAACTCACTTTGGTACCAGCAGATGGTATAATGGTTATATCACTGGACTCCCATATAGTCGACCACAGTTTGAGTCCTGGACCTGGCGGCTTGAAATGCATCATGCTGGGTGCACGTGTGTGCATCCCCAAGATCCCGAGAGAACGGAGGAAAAGGGACTGTAGTGTGGCCACCCCCGCTGGGGAGTTGATTTCTTGCTTTCTGTCTTTCCAGAGAACGCATGTGCCCTATAGCAAAAATTAAAAACCTCTCTCTTAAAAACAAAAACAAACTCACTTCACATATAAAGAACTGGGTAAGCAGCAAGCAAAAGAGTGAAACTAGGGGCTGACAGGTGGCATGGTGATTAAAAGCACTGGACTCCCACATGGCCAGCTGCGGTTCAAGACCTAGACCTGGTGGTTTTCTCATTTTCTCTCTCTCAATCTAGTCAAATCAAATAAATAAAGTTAAATAAAAAACAGAGTAAAAATCTACGTATCACATTTGTGTGATCACATTAATAAAAAAGAAAGGAGGAGCTATATTAATGTCAAAGTAAACTTCACGGCAAAGAAAATGACCAGAACCAGAGGACATTACATAATGATAAAAGACAGCACTCCTAACTGTGTATACACTAATTAACAGAACTGCAAAATATCTGAAGCAAAAACTGACAGAAAAGGAGAAAAAACCAATTCCACAAATACAGCTAGAAATTTCAACACCACTTGCTCAACAACTGCTAGAACCTGACGAAAAATCAGAAGGACATATAAGAACTTGATGACATCACGAACCAAGAGAATTTTATCGATATGTACGGAACACTGAACCCAAATGCAGCAAAATACACACTCTCTTCACGTGCCCGTATGTATATACAACATAGTCCACCATAGACAATCCCAACAAATGTACGTGGCCATAATGAGATCTCACTCACACCTGTTGGAATAGCTAAAGTGAAAAAGGAAACCGTATTAACTGCTGCTGAAGGCGCAGAGAAACTGGGTCTCTGATACCCTGCTGATGGAAATGTAAAATGGCACTACTCTGGAAAACACTTGGGCAGTTTCTTAAAAAACAGTGAACTTACCAAATGACTTAGTCATCACACTTCTAGGTATTTATCCCACAGAAATGAAAACCTACACTCACATAAAAGCCTACACGTGATTGCTCACAGCAGCTTTATCAGTAATTGCCCTGAGCTAAATAATTAAGATGTCCCTCACTAGATGAATGGTTACCATCGCATGGAATCCCACTCCGCAGTCATAAACTGGTATGTAGAACGGCTGAGACAGACATCAAGGGAATTATACTGAGGGGAAAAAAAGACTCAAAAGGACAAGTGCTACAGGAGGTCATTTATGTCATTTATTTACAGAGATGCCAAAGAGATTAGTGGTTGATGGGGTTAGGAACAGTGGGGGAGAGGGGTGGGAAGTAGCATGAGACCTTTGTGCTGAGAACCGTTCTGCATCTCGATTGTGGTTACAGGATAAAACGGCAGAGAACTATACACAGGCGCTGCACCACTCTCACTTCCTGGTTTGATTTTGTACCCAGTCATAAGACGAATGCGCCGGGGAAAACTCAGTGACATGTGAGCTGGTCTCCCTCTACTAAAATTCACTGCAAGTTAAACACACACATACTGAAACCGCTCAACAGATTTAAAAAAAAATAAATCCTTCTACAAGGATTTAAAGTAATTACTACGAACAAAACGACTTCTAGATACTATTACTGGACTGTGTAGGAAGAGAAAAGAACCAACCCCTAAGTAGGAATAAATCAGGTTTCTATCTTCAGAATTTGAACTGAGAGAGAGAGGTAGGGAGGGGGCGAGAAGAGAGAGGGAGAGAGAGAGAGAGACCAGTCATCTATCAAGAGCTCCATAGCTGTAAAGTAACCCTATGAGGACAGGATTCAAACTGGTCCCCAGCGAGTCCAAGATAGCTGAAGTCACGATGCACACAGCAGAAACTGCAAGGCTGTCTATAGGAATGGCCACTGAAAGATTTGTTTCTAAAGCAGTATTTCGGTAGTGAATGGATTTCTGCTTCTTAAAACCACCAATCCTGACTAAAACATGTTTAGAAAAGATGAAAAGGTCGGGACCAGCAGATGGCGTAATGGTTATGTTGCTGGACTCCCACGCAGTCGACTGCGGTTTGAGTTCCAGACCTAGTGGCTCAACCCTCACGCCAGGCCAATGTCCCCAAGGTATCAAGAGGAGACTGGAGAAAGGTTTGCAGTGTGGTCATCCCCTGGGGAGTGATTTCTCACTTTCTATCTCTCTGTCTCTCTCTCCAGCGAGCACACATCCCCTATAGCAAAAATCTCCCCAAATAAGAAAAGATGAAAAGGTAACAAAGACTTGTACTGGGACCAGCAGTTAGTGTAATGGCTGTTGCTGGACTCCCATGTAGTTGACTGGTTCGAGTCCCGGACCAGCGGCTTAAACTCACGCTGGACGCATGTGCGTGTGTGCCCAAGATCCCGAGAGGAGAATGGAGAAGGGATTATAGTGTGGCCATCCCCCCTAGGGGGGGTGATTTCTCGCTTCCTCTCTCTCTGTCTCTGTCTGGCGAGCGCATGCGTCCTGTAGCAAAAACCTCTACAAAAAAAAAAAAGACTTGTATCTACTCTGCTGTGGCTGTCCCTCCACTCCTGTAAGACAGTGATCACTTAAACCACCTAATCCTCACCTCATTCCATCTGACTCACCTGAGTCAGTGTGACTTTACAAAGACAGGGAGGGAAGGAGCAGGCTGGTCTCTACTAAGGATGGTGATGATATGCCCCTGGGTGGACTGGACACTGGAAGAAATCTACCAGAACACTGGCCTCCACGCAGAGGGTCCAATGCCAGCTGTAGGGACCTGGCATTTAAAGGTTAGAAGGTCCCCTTGGATACATGTGCACAATTAATCTGGAGGTTGGAATGAACTCATTTATTCATCCCTAAGTCTTTATTTATTCACTAGGGGGTGGAGCTGTACGTTATGCAAAGGAATTCCCAACCACTGACTCAGCCCCAGCCAAGAGCCCACCATAGCGGTAGGACTCACTTTTGGCCTGCTAGAAAGTAAACTGAAGGGGTCCCATGTAGGCCAAGCCACCACCTCTCCACCTCCTAGGCTAATGTCCCTTCTGGGCTCCCATTTCAGAACCCCAACAACTGCAGAGTTGAAAGACACGACATCAGACTGCTTGGGTTCCAGTCCTGCTTCTGCCACCTCCTGCTGTGTGGATTTCTCTGTGCCTCAGTTCCTCATCTGTAAGAAAGTAAGGACAGTACCCACTTCGTAAGTCCTGGTAACAGTGAGGTGATCAAAGGCAGTGCAATATCTTAGGTAAATTTTCTGTACCTACTTCGCCGAGTGATTCCCAGAACAAAAGTGAGAAGTCAACAGAAAACAAAACAAGCTAAAGCAATCCAAAGGTTTCTTGTTTTTTATTGTTTTTGCTAAGGTAAGAACAGAACCACCACCGTGGCTCAGCTCTATAACCCAGCCAGCCCGAGACTGTTCCAATGGTGGGACTAAGACTTGGAAGGTCTTCCTCCCTCACTGATCTCTTCTCAAAGCCCATGGAGGGCATAGTCCAGAGAGTACCAATACACACCTGTCACCCAAGAATTTAAAGCCTTCTTGATCTACATTTTCTACCAACCGTATCACTTCTGAGCTGGTGGACTCCAGGTGCCATGAAATAGGTGGAGTAAAGCTTCCTTCCGCATTCTGAGAACACGGTTTGTGAAGAGCACTAGGAAACACGACTAGACAGACCTCCACCACTTCCCCCGTTAACCTGGCACTCTAAGGTGAGGAATTGTTCTCAGTTTCCCTTCCCCAGCTTTAGAGTTCTTCAAGGCATATACCCCCAGCCTCAGAAAGTCACCACGGCCACAGGCTGGGATTCACCACAAAGGCAAGATGTATTATTAGTTTTTTCTTTGGCCCCAGCACATACCAGGCCAGCATCTTCCAGGAGCAGTCCCTCCAGGACTGTCTAGGCTGCTGTCTGAAATCACAAACGGGTTGTTCAGGTCCCTCTGCATGCCCTAAATGATTCCTAAAAGCTTCACATAACCTCGCAGTCTAGCTGTCCTCTGCTCTTTTGCTTATTATGATCCTTCCCATAAAGCTATCAAATCCCTGAGTCCTGGATGCCTCTTTTGCATTTCATAACCTTCTCAAATTTACTAAATGCCTCTTGAATTTCAGGAAGCAATGACCTACCAGCTAATGCAACAATGCAGGTTAATTCTGTGTGAATATTGCTGAGACCGGGTCTGCAGGAGACGAGGGAAGGAAGGCCAGGTGTCCAGGGTACCTTCTCCACTCTTTTCTCACGTGTCTCCCTATCCAGCACCCCAACCTGTTCTGGAAGCAATCTACCAGAACACTGGCCTCCACCCAGAGGATCCAATGCCAGCTGTAGGGACCTGGCATCTAAAGGTTAGAAGGTCCCCTTGGATACATGTGCACAAATAATTTGGAGGTTGGAATGAACTCATTCATTCATCTCTAAGTCTTTATTTATTCACTAGGGGGTGGAGCTTAGGTTCCTGCACACTGTGCGCTCCTGCCTGTCACTCAGGATGAGGTGAGGCTCTTGGACTGAACACAGTTGGCCTGGGGTGGATATTCACTGTATAGTGGATCAGGATCCCAGATTAGAATTCAAGCCATATTGTGGGCCCTCTCTACCTGAGGAGAGTCACACTTAGATTGCTCTATCACCTTGACTGAAAGCATTCTAAGTATGGAAGGGAAGGGAACCTGCTCTGGAAGCCAAACCTCGAACTATCTTTGCAAACAATGTACTCAAAACCCTGTCTTCAGTGACCTTCTCCAGGGCTCACCACTTGAAGAGCTCAGGCTGGTACCAACAGCTCTGCACAGTAGAGTCACTGTCAAGAACCTTCCCGCTTCTAAGAAAGAAGACAAAGTCTCCTGGAACAGAAACAGTAAACCATGGCCTTCAGCGTGCTGATGCCCGAGGCTTCCTGGGACAGCTGCTACGTCATCTGAGCTCGCTGCCTCTGCTTCAGTCCAGCCACTGGAGGTAGGTCTTGCAGGGGCTGGGGTTTTTCCCTCTATTATGTCTTTCCACCAGTTCTGCCAGATACAGAGCCCCAAGCCCAACTTCTTTTCACCACAAGGCCTACTGACATGTCCTTCAAGCCACTTCCTTCGCTGTTCCGTACCTCTGTCAGCCTTTCTGACCTCTAGTCTCTCAGGACATAGGAACTGCTCAAAGAATGGTGACAAAGAGAAGGGCAGCCTTCACTTCCTGGCAACGGCTGCTTCTCAAATCTAGAGAAGCCGAAGGGGTTAAAAGATCACAGTTCTCTTTGCTTTTGTGATGAAACGGATGGAAATGGGAGTTCCCAGGTTTCAGATCTCAGCAGGCTGCTCAGTATCCGATGTGGGAGTTGCATGGCTGCCCAGAGAAGGCAACGGTGATATCCAGAACAAGCACTTCTGGCCAGCAAAGGGTTCTCCGTCCTTACTCCTGCAGCCTAGACCATGTAGACATTTCTTCCATCTGGGCACACGGGCAGCCCAGACTTGCAGATGGAAACTCCTTCATCAAATGCAGTGACCAGTCCCACGCCGACACCTGGGTCACATCATGGCTGGCACAGGGGAAGAAGTGCTTCTGACCCCTGCATGGCCAGATCTGTTGAAGAGGCTCAGGTATTAGGAACCAAACTTGCAGACCTTGGAGCACGATGCTTCCCTCACTGGTGTCGCGTCACCTAGCCTAAGGGTTTCACAAGACCCAAAGGCCCAACTCAGAAGACAGTGGGCAGAGGCAAAACGACCATCCTAAAGAGGTCTGCGAACAAGTGGACAGCTCTGCAGGACCACCACGAGGCAGCTGTCACCACCCTGGTCAGGAGGATGTATCGTGCTGCATCTTCAAGGCGCTGGAGGCAGGCGCTGTGGTAGGAGAGGTAGTGAACAAGGGTCAGAGCTTTACTGGGACACCATATTCAGGCCCTCCCACCCTGGAGAATTTATTCCAGAGAAGCAACTCCCGATAGGGAGGAAGCTCAATGCACAAGGACATGTTTTAGGAGCCCAGCGGTTAACAGAATATGGACTCTGGAGTCAGAGGCTCACTTTCCCACTCTGGGGCCAAGTGACTTATACTCTCCGAGCTTCCTTTTCTTCACCTGTAAAATGCAGATGACAGCACCTTCCTCCCAGGGTCATTGTGAGGATCCAGTGAGATAACTTCAAAAACACATGAGTACAATATATGCTCAACTTTGTACAAAGGTCGTTACTATGTATGAGGACAGGAAGGGAATGCAGAGAAAAGGCCATGGGTGAGTTGTTAGGAGTGAGAGAACTGAAGGAAGATTTCCATAATTCTTCTGACAATACCATATTTTAGGTCTTAAGACATTTTGTAGGTATGTGGATGCCACAAATGGTCGATCCCTGCAGCCTGGGTAGAAAGATGCAAGGGAAGGAGAGGTGGCCTCTTTTCACCAAGGCTTTCCCCGCTTTCACAGACTTTACCCCTGAGAAACTCCTAAGAAGTCTCTGAGAATTTAGCAAAGGAAATAAGATGAAGGGTACAGGAGGGGAAGAATGAAGAAGAGTCTGACATCAAAACCACAAAAGACACACCTCCCAGAAGCTCTCCCTGCCCAAAGGTAGGGCTGTGCACAGATGGTCACTCTGTCCCAATTAGAAATACAGCTGAAAAGGAGCCCCTTGCCCAGGGGCTGACTGCCAGGATGACACAGTCAGGTACAGCCAGCAAGACAGAGAAAAAGATCTCGTAAACAAGGCAGGAAGCCCACCCCAGGATCTGGATCCAGGACACAGGACACCTCTGTCCCTCGCCTCCTCCCTGAAGCTTATCAGCTGTGAGGAGGTCACAATGGCCCATTCTCAAAAGGGATGCATGTAGCATTTGCTAAGCTGTACCAGAAACAAAACAAATCATTAAGTACTTGCACAGACCTAAGGAAATCTAGCTGTACTTAATACCTTTTTTCCTTTTTAAATGCATTCCAACCATAAATACTACAGTATGTAACCCCCCCTCAAAAAAAAAGGTTGTTTTTTAAAACTTAAACAATACCATCATCACATATAAAAAGGTTAACAATTCCTTAATATCAGCAACTACTCAGTGTTCAAATTTCCAACTGCCTCATAAATCTCAAAAATGGGTGGTTGGGGACCAGCAGGTGGCATGGTGGTTAAGGCGCTGGACACTCCCACATGACAGACCATGTTTCGAGTCCCGGACCTGGTGGTTTGCTTTCTCACTTTTTCTTTCTCTGTCTCTCTCTGGTCAAATTTTTAAAAATGAATGAATAAATAAAATTAAACAAATAATTTTTAAAAATCTGCCTATACTAAAAAAAAAAAAATGTTGGGTGGTTGGCTGACAGCACATAAAAATTCACGTTTACAAAGCCTGAGAAGATTGTGAGCCCCTATAGACCCCACCACGCAACGACTACTGACCTAAGGCTATTTCCTCTCTGGATTACATAAGAAAATCAAAGCCCAGAGAGGTTAGGGGACTGGTCCAGGATTACACGGCTAGCTGAAAGCAGGCCTCACCCATGGCCCAGTGCTCTTCCTTCGATATACCGTGTAGCTGTCTGAACACAGAGGTGATGACTAGAAACGTTCAAGTCAGCAAGCCTTAATCCAGTCCCACCCCTTGCTTGTTAGAAAAGAAACACAAGACCCCTCCTAGTAACTACACATGCATTTGACAACAAAAAACAATCCCAAGCATCAACACCATCGGTAGAAGGCCTGACCTTGATTCTGTGCCTCAGATTAGCCAAGAAAAGAATTCCCATGACCTCTACTCTTTCTCCATACTAACCAGCACCCCCCCACCCCCTGCCCGCACTGTAGTAGGCTGAGGAGGCTCCACCTAGGAGGAAGGTATCGCGTGGCAAGGCTCTGAGTTCCAGCTGTGCACTGCTGTGGCATCATGACGCAAAGCTGAAGATGGCTTAAAAACAGGCCCATGTGGCTTTGTAGTCACGTCCATCAAATCATCATGGAACACACATTTCTGTGTAGTTTGTTTTAGAGTATGAGGGAGAAAAAACCACTTCCTGTCTAATTCTACAAGGGTTAAAGTACACTTTTCACACAACTAGACAAGGAAAAGATACATACATGCACCAAAGTAGGAGGTGAAGGGGAAGAAAACTATAGGCCAACCCTATTCATAAATTTGAGAACAAAATCCTAACTAAAAGCAAATCAAGAGTCAATGGTGGCTTAGTGGTTGGGAAGCTGGATTCTACATGGCCGACAGTGTGATTCGAATCCCAGCCCCAGTGGCTTAACAAACACACCAGGCACAAGTCCATGCATGCCCAAAATGCCAACAGGATGAAGTGGAGAACAAGAGATTGCAGAGCAACCACACCCCTGCTCTCTCTCTCTCCTCTCTCTGTCTGTTTCTCTCTGGTGAGAACATGCACCCTTTTGGCATATTCGACATTTTTAAAAAATTTAGAAAGAAAAAACAAATTGAGAGAACGCATGCTTTTCCTTTGAAACTTTTATTTGTTCTTTCTGTTCTCTTTGATAGGATCTTGTTTCCTTTTATGCATAATAAAGATAAATTAGGAATGTGTAAAAAGAAAAAAGAATAGGACATACTAAATAAACTGCTAAATCTAGAATGCAGATATTTTGATATAGGAAATGAAGTGTTTAGGGGCCAACAGGAGATATGATGGTTAAGAAGCAGGATGCCACAGGGCTGACTGTGAGGTTCGAGTCCTAGGCCCAGCAGCTTGTAAAACATGACAGGCATGTGTGCGTGTGTGCCCAAAATCCTAAGAGGAGAACAGGGAAGGGATTGTGGTGTGGCCATCCCTCTGAGAGGTGATTTCTCACTCCCCTCTCTCTGGTAAGTGCAAGTACCCTGTGGCAAAAAATGTGACAAAAATATGGAGAAAAAAGGGAAATGTTTGTTATGTTCATTCATTTCATTTGATTCTAAAAGGGCAAGGGAGAAAAATCCAAAATGTATTTTTCTTATCAAGAAAAAGGAAAATAACCTTAGCAAACCAAAACCAGCACCTATACTTCCTTACCTTAAGGATCTGTGTTATTAAACAATAATGTAAAGCGACTGTGGGAACAGACAGATCAAGGCTATAGATCCGTCTATAGCTCGTGGTAAGCAATAATCATTACTATGGTGGTTGAGGTGTCTGAATCCCACATGGCCAACTGGGCAGTTCGAGACCTGGACCAAGCAGCTTGAAAAGAAGCCACGGGGCCAGCAGGTGGCAGAGTGATTAAGGGGCTGGATTCCCACATGGCCAACAGCAGTGTGTTAGGCTTGGCGGCTGGGAAGTCACGCTGGCCACGTGTATGCCCATGCCCAGAGTCCCGAGAGGAGAATGGAGAAGGGATTGTGGCATGATCATCCCCTAAGGGGGTGACTTCTCACTGTCCCTCTCTCCCTCTCTAGGGAACGCACATTCCCTATAGCAAAATTAGGAAAAAAGAAAAAGAAAAAAAGCCACGGCGCCCAGTGTGATAGCACAGTGGCAGTACAATGCTCTGCAATGCTGGAAGCCACAGGAAGACTGAGGTTCAGTTCCCAAGTTGGCCTATACACACACGTGCCTGTGGTCCTAGCTGGTTGAAAAAGACCGGGGAGAGGCAATCATGGCGAGACTCTCTTGAGGGTGCTGGCCTTCCTGTCTCTCTCATGATATGAAAGGGTGAAATAAACTAAAAAAAAAAAAAAAAATTTCGTGTTTTTCAGTTTTGCAAGAGGGTATGTGTACTTTGCAGAGACAGAGCAAAAGAGAGAAAAAGTGAGAAAGCAACCCCCATGAGGAATGGTAACACCACAACCCCTTCTTCTCCATTTGCCCCTCCTTTTGAAATTACAGACACATGTGTCTAGAGTGTTCTCAGACTGCCAGGTCTGGGACTCTAATCACGCACTGGCCATGTGGATCCAGCCCCCTCGACCGCCACACTACTGGCTGGCCACAGGACTAGCTTTCCTAAGACACAAAACCGTGGAGCCATAAAGGGACCTATGCAGGGTTTTCAAAAGGTTCATGGAAAATGTGAACTAATAAAAAAAAAAAAAAAAGACAAATTATGCATGGGTTTTCCTTTTTTTTTTTTTTCATTACAAGTTTATGGAGGGAGATAGATGTGTCCTACAGGTAGACGAGGCAAGTGTCAAGGGAAGCAGGCATAGACAGAACAGGCCTTTGCCAAAGAAGGATTTCAAAAATTTTTTGCATCAAAATAAAATTGTACTTTGGGAACCAGCAGTTGGCGTAATGGCTATGTCGCTGGACTCCCATGTAGTCGACCGTGGTTTGCGTCCCGAACCCGGGGACTTAAAACTCACGCCAGGCGCGTGTGCGTGCGTGCCCAAGATCCCGAGAGAATGGAGGAGAAGGGATTGCGGCGTGACCACCCCCCCGGGGGGTGATTTCTCGCTTTCTGTCTCTATGTCTCTCTCTGTCTGGCAAGTGCACGCGCCCTATAGTGGGGGAAAAAAAAATTGTACTTTGATTCTATTTTTTCTTTTTAAGCAGAGAAAGGGATTTGGGACTAGCAGATGGCATAGCGGTTATGTTGCTGGACTCCCACATGGCCAATCGCAGTTTAAGTCCTGGACCTGGTAGCTTTAAACTCACACCAGGCACGTGGGCGTGCATGCCTGAGATCCCAGGAAAACAGAGAAGGGATTGTGGTGTGGCCACACCCCCTCCAGGGGGTAATTTCTTGCTTTCTGTCTCTCTGTCTCTCCAGCAAGCACACGCACCCTACAGCAAAAATTTCTCCAAAATAAAAATAAAAAATAAACAGACAGGGTCTCCACCCTCCCCCATTTTTAGGTTTTATATTTTTAAAAATTTTTTAAAGAATCATTTCATTAAACTTTATTTTATGTATTTGTTTATTTTTAATTTGATCAGAGAGGGACAGAGTGAGATAGAAAACTTAAGAAAGCAAGCCGCCAGGTCCAGGACTCAAACTGTAGTCAGTCATGTGGGAGTCCAGTGCCCTTAACCACCACACCACCTGCAGGCCCCTCAAACTCCCCTTTAAACAAATGTATTAAAAAAAAAAAAAAAAAAAAAGGGTCTCACTATGTTGCCTGACTGGCCCTGAGTGCAATCACCCTGCCTTAGCCTTAGCCTTAGCCTACGAGCTGAGATTTCAGGCATGTGCCGCTGTGCCTAGCTTCCACCAACTTTTTGAAGTCCCTCATATTTGAAGATTTTACCATATAAAGACTTTAGATGTCTATTTGATAAAAGGTTCAGAAATAAAAGTTAAGACATCAGTACTCAATTCTTCAACAGAAAGAAAACAAAAGCAAAAGAGAAAAGATAGGCCATTGTCAGGAGTAAAGTAAATGCAATTTATGTAATAGATAAAGGATTAACATCGAGCTACATAAAGCCACCACCCATCAAATAAAGGAAGAATATGATATGAACTTTAAATCAGGAAAACTTTTTTTTTTTTTGGAGAGATTTTCGCTATAGGCAGCGTGTGCTTGCCAGACAGACAGAGAGAGACATAGAGACAGAAAGCGAGAAATCCCCCCCCAGGGGGGATGGCCACGCCACAATCCCTTCTCCTCCATTCTCCTCTCGGGATCTTGGGCACGCGCACACACGCGCCCGGCGTGAGTTTTAAGCCACCGGGTCCGGGACACGAACCGCGGTCGACTACGTGGGAGTCCAGCGACATAGCCATTACGCTAACTGCTGGTTCCCAAATCAGGAAAACTTTTTGAAGGGCAATCAGCAATGAGCCAGATGTTAGAAGTTCATGTCCTCCACTTAGTAGTCTCTAGTCTAAAAAATGCTCTGAGAGAGATCGACAAGAATCATGAAAAACAGTGTTAACCACAGCATTATTTACAATATCAAAAAAGAAAACATAACCCAACTCAACCTAACAGGAGGAGGTGAAATTCACATTTGTACATCTACCCAGTGAAGGACTAGCCAGTCTCTGAAGAGAGATGGATAGGATTCTGTGTGGTAACAGGGAAACTCGTCACAACACAATTAATAAACACAGGCTAGCTATAAGACAGTCGGTGCTCTGTGATTCCAGCTTTGTCTGAAACAGAAAAACAATGTGCTTTTTCTAGGAAGAAAAATCTGGGAGAATCCATATCAAGCTACGAGCGAGCATCATTTCTGAGGGTAGCATCAAGGCCTACTTTCACTTTCTTATTTTTGCTGCAAGGTGCATGCACTCGCCAAAGAGACAGAGAGACACATTGAAGGAGAGGAGAAAGCGACCCCTCTGGGGCACAGCATGTTGCAATCCCTTCTCATCCATTTCTCCCTCTGTTCCGGATTCTGGGCACCCATACACATGTGCCTGGTATGTCTCACAAGCCTCCAGGTCTGGGACTCGAACCATGTAGTCAGTCAAGTGGGGAGATCCAGCTGCCTTAACCAACAAGCCACAGAGCCAACCTGGAAATGTTCACCTAAATCATGTATTTCTGTAACGTCTGAATTATTTAGCGTAAGCACAATTGCTTGTATCAACTGAAAAAATACAGAAATAAAGAAATAAGACTTCTACCTCTCCGCAAGAAGGGGTAGCTATGGCTCCAGGTACCAATCCTG